AAGTGTTGACACATATCCAAAAACCCAGATATATGTGTATGCAGATTCTCATTAGCTAACCCGTAGTACTGATGCCCATTTTGAAAAAGTTGGATGAAGTTAGTTTTCAGCTAGAAGTTTGACTGTTCGAGTAGGGGTTACACAATACTGGATTGACTTTGGACAACGAACGGTGACAAGAAATCCCCAAGTAAGGTATTCCTGTCATTTTCTTCCTCTACATTAGCTGGAACTGCAGGATTCCTTATTGGGTCTATTTGTTGATTTGCCATTGGTTTTTGTTCTTGGTTTTCCTACTATGCTTCTCTATCTTCCCTTTGCCTGTGATTAAAAGTTCGTTCAATTTTTAAATCAGCTGAAAGCAGTTCACCTCCAAGCGACCTTCGCATTCAAGACCTGTAAGAATGACAGTAGTAGCACTTAGATCAACCTAAGTAAAAAGATTAAATACTTAAAAATAAAGATTGAAGATAAGTTCGAATTATTGTTGAGGTAAATAAAATCAAACTAAACTCAATCCTCGGTAACGGCGCCAAAAATTTGTTCACGAAAATATATTGAATTAAAATCACCGCAAATGTACGGTTCCTTAACAAGTAATAAAATGAACTTTGAGTCCAAATATTGTTCCCACTATCGTAACCTTAACTGAAATTATAAAAAGATGAGAATGTTTGTTTGATAATTTTATAACTAAATTAATGATGAACATGCAAGGATGAATGATTTAACTAAACTGATGTTGAATGTAATTTGGATTTTTTTGAATGTATGATGAATGTACTAGGATCATGAATCTCCATGCAATAATACTTTTAAACCTAGTTTTACACCTTGACACACGGTTGAAATATTTAAGAATCAATGCGCATAAACTATTTAGTAGTCTTTCTCGAGTAAAGTTAAACCTATTCCGATATGTGACCCGATTATANTAGTTTCACACCTTGACACACAGTTGGAATAAAGAAGAATCAATGCTCCTAAATTATCTAACAATCTCTCTCGAGTAGAGTTAAACCTATTCAAATATGCGACCCGACTATATTTCAATGACGGATGCAAACATACAAGAATGCATGAGTTTTTATAAACACTTAAAGATTCACATAAGGTATAGTGGTATATTTCTATCTCCTATCGGACCATATGATATTTATATAAGTCGACCCTATTCTCCTTCTTTCGAATGCATTAAATAAGCCATCAAACTCAGACAATCATTCGCGAATATAATTGTAGAGAAAAATAAATTCGTATAAATCATTCAACTATCCCAAAACATATTTTTGATTGTCAAGAATGTAAAACTAAGAATTAAAAATCACTACATAGTTCATCTAACTCTAGTACATAATGAATCTAGCCTAGAATGGTGGAGAGAAGAAAATCAGAAATATAGATCAAGAGCAACATGACCCCAATTGAATCTTTATGTTCTTGGAGTTGATCTTCCCGTTATTGCC